TATATTTGCTTTCAACTGAAGAGCATATTCACTGCTACCACTGACAGCATTTAACGGCCTTGCTGTTTCATGCATATTTTAAAAACTTGAGAAGTGATTTGATTGAAAACACTAATGCAATGCTTCACAGCGTTGTTTCATAAGCGAGAGATCTGTATTTCTTTCTGGAAAATAACAATTTGATCAGTTGTGCCATTCAAATGAGAAACACATCACACAATGACTATCACCTTTAGCAGTGAAGTATGTGTAAAACCAATAGCAGTGTGTACAAATACTATGAGAAAGCCTGATGTGGGTTCTCACTGGTGTGAGATTGATGTGAGAATGGCGTCAAAATGATCAATAAAAACTGTCATTAAATAAAGATCTTCGGTGTGAACACCAGGGGGAGCCCTATCCATGTGACATATTTTGGGCTTAAGGAGCAGAAAATACACCCTAAAAGTAAATGTTATCGTCACTTCTTCCTGCAACACTGGAAAGATCGTTACAATCTTGGAACTGCTCCAAAGATGCCGAATAAGGAAACATCGACATTTATTTAGGTGAAAAATAGCGAATCACAAAAATAAATAAATAAACTAGTGAAAACAGAAAGACTGAGCCCACGTGAATCCACTGCTTCACTGTGAACCGCAAGCGCCACCAATTAAAGTCTCCACGCACTGATTAGCTGCGCAACTACTTTTAAACTGGATATAAATCGCCCTTTAGGGAACAGTTCCCTTTAAAACCTCAGAGTCAATCCAAGCAAGAGTCTTTTGATCTAGATTACATCACATTGTGGATTCAAGGATAAACTTCAAAGATAAAACTGAAAAGGTTACATCACTTACTGCATCAAGCATAGAAACAACAGGATATAGAATTTAATTAATAAAATCACTGATTGCAACTATTTATCCCTTAAGATAAACAAAAGTGTGGGAAAAAAATTCCCACCAGGTCTGCTCATAAGTGTTTGAATTATTTGCTATTTATGTTTGTTGTTGTTTTTTCGTGAAACTCTGATCTGTTCTCTTCCTCGGGTTGTTGACAGCGGTTTGTGTGACTCGTGACTATTGTTTCTAACATCTCTGCCACTGATCTCGCGATTTTAGTTTTCTCCACCTCCGCTGTCTGTCTCTCAGCTCCATCCTTTCACACAGTGCACCGGAGCGCTCAAACGTGAAGCACTTCAGCCAAATTATGCAACACTGGTAACACTTGCCGCTCTCCCATTGGCTGTTGAGTCTTCCACTTGGAGGTGTGGCTAAAGTGCTTCCACCTGCCATTTGCCAAGTCTGTGCCGAGGGCGTGTCTGCCGGTTTCATTCACAAATCTAGCAGCGGAGCGTCTCTCCGACATGTGAAGATCCCTCTGCTTATTCTGTGGCACACATGTCTGCTCCGCAGATGTACGCCTGCAGCCTGAACAGAAGATGGATTCTGACTAGTTCAGAATGAAACTGTAATGTTTGTGGTAACAGCAACAAATATTACTACCATAATGGTGTCCTTTAGCACTTGTGTGATAGTAACATATGAAAAGGAGTCTAGAGAAATGTCCGTGCTAGAGGCAGGAGGCTTAAAATAACTGTTGGATGTCGGTGATCTTTGAGCCCTCGGGGAGCAATTCATTAAAAACAGGTGTGATCCTTTCACAGAAATTACTGCATCAGCTCAGGAACACTTCCACAAATTATTGTCTGTTCACATCCACAAATTTTCTTTTTTTCTTTAAAACCCCCCCACATATGGCTTATATGTGAACATAATCCAGAAACACTGCTATTTTCTCTGTGCTAACCCTCATTTAAAATGTACTCAGGCAAGGATGTTGGACAAATCAAAATTTGAAGTTCAGCATCCCACAACTAAAGAGGAGAGAGAACATCCAGTTCGTTATCAGCAGTCAGTCAAAAAATCCTGCATCTCTGATGGTGGGTGCATTGGTGCCTATGGAATTGAGAGCTTGCAAATCTGGAAAGGCACCATCAATGCTGAAAGACATATAAAGGTTTTAGAGCACCATATACTTCCATCCAGACCACATCTACTCCAGAGAAGGAGAAGCAACGTGACTTTGTAGTAGAAGACTCTAGTTTTTAAACTTGCCTGTCTGCAGTCCTGCCTTCTACAAATAGTCAATACAGGGATTGTCTAGGGATTGAGAGTAACGAAGTTTCTATTCTCTGTATGTCCTGTACATGTGGCAGAATTGACAATAAAGTTGACTTTGACTTTGACTTGACTTTGACTTTGACATCATGAAATTAAAAGTACAACAAAGAAGATCCAGGACTTTTTGAGCAGCTAGAATCCTATATCAGACGAGAAAGGGACGTTATTCCTCTCCCAGAAGTCCAAAAACTGGTCTCCTTAGTTCCCAGAGGTTTACACACTGTTGTAAACATGGCACCCCATCCCAACTTTTTTGAGACATGTTGCTGCTATCAAATTCAAAATGAGCTGATATTATTCTTGGGTTGAAATATTTGATATGTTTTCTGTGTTCCACTGTGAATAGAACAAGGGTTCATGAGATTTGTGAATCACTGCATCCTGTTTTTATTTACATTTTACTCAGTGTGCCAGTGTTTTTGAAACTGACATTGGAAGCTGTAATCGCACTGTAGTTGCAAAATACATTGTGAAAGAGTTTGCGTGATACTTTGGAACTGATTCCAAAAAGCATGTCTGATTTGCCCAAAGGTGAGTGCACTATCACTGAGGAGCAGATATAGTAGTTAATAATTGTGAGGCAGGCGCTAAAGTACCAGGCTTCAAACCAAATAGTAACTTATTTAAAATTTGAAACAAAGTTTAGTAGTACTAAACAGTTTCTGCCTGTTCTGCAATGAAAAGAAATATACTGTTTAGACACTCAGGTACGTGCACCCAAACACATAATAATTACAAGAGGGATGTACAGTATGTTTCATCAAGTTCCTTTATGGATATTATTTCATTGTGATATGGCAACATGATCGACATTTCCTCTAAATCAGAGGAAGCTGAAGGAGAAGGTAGGGCAGGGTAAAGCAGCAGTGTGTAGTAGTTTCCCAGCTATCCTCCTGGCATGGTCTGAATCTTTCTCTTTCTGATGGAGGACAAAGATACAAAGAGCACAAAGAGTGTATACTGCAAACTGTCTCCACTTTATATTGCAGCTCTTTGTGTCTTTGTCTTCCATTAGACCAATGACTTTTCAGTCCTAGTGTCTGATTCTCACCTCACCAAACAGGAACTTCAACTTTCACTACCTAAACATTTAAATGCTTTCGCACTGAGTAAGAATGTATGTAGAAATGTCTTCTACGTAAAGTAATCGTGTAAATGTTTAATTTAGCTTCTATAATTAAGCGCTCTCACATCCCTCTTTGTTTCCCTCTAAATCATCTGCTGAATCCTTTTTATTACATTCATGCAATAGTCAGTTTTTACTACAATCAACCCAATGGAGCAATGCTCTGATTTCCACCTCAGGGACCGGTTTGACACACTGAACTTTGACCCACTTAATTGACAAACACATCTTCCATAGATGATACTTCAGCTTGTCAATACAAGGACTGATAATGAGAAAAGAGAAAAAAAAAACATGGAAGCCAAGTGGAGGATGGGATTTGAAGGGGATGGTCTTCAGCAAGCATGAACTCAAAGTAGGTTCAGTGAGTTCATGTGCTGTAGAGGAATGCTCACGTAGCACACATACGACCTTTCCCCTGGTTTATTTTTTGCCAAAGTTCACCTGTTATTGTATCCTGACAATAAGAGGGTCCTGTTTGCGCACCTGATGTTAAGGTTACTAAATACTGAGGGACTTGACATAGTTGCAGGCCTCGAAGATGGTAATTGTCAATCTAACAAGGACACAGCCTGTTGTGTACGCTGAGGAGGGTCAGTGGGTTCATGTGTATGTTAAGCATGGCAGTGGGGGAAGGGTAGGCCGTTTATCATAGGCTGAAACATGCTGGGGATTTCGGATCTAAAAATACTAGTCAAAGCCAGTAAAATCGTGGCCTTACAATAAAGCCCAATGAGGAGAGAGACCAGCAATAAGATAAGTATGTAGCATGTGACAAGATCATGTGTATGATCCATGTACGTTGGTATAATGCATTGCAAGTTTCAGAGGGAGGGTCAGTGAGTTCGCTGCTGTAAGGCTATATATCATGGTACTGGGAGGTGATTTGTTATCTGTATGATTGCATGCAGCAGTGTGTGTTTTTAACTTAAACATGAAATGACACTGACACAAAGCAGGCAATCACACTTTAAATACGATATTTCATTGTTTGGAAAATGTATCACCTCAGCTCTCCTTCCTACTTTCATCCTCTGAATTCCAGTTTGTGACACTAGACAAACGGGTTGGTAAGCTTTAAACTGAGGAAAATACAAAAATGTTCACATGAGATTATGTAAAACTGCAAGAAATTTAGCAAATAAACAATATCCGTCTAATATTGCAAGTTATGTAAGCCAAGATATCTCAGGGTGAAAGAATTGCACAGCCTTGTCCAGGCAGAGTGACCATCATTATAAGAAATGTGATTTTCTAGTCTGTTCTGGGCAATATAATGAAAAACGTCGCCCACTGTTTATTTAGTTATTATTTTACCTTTGAGAGGCCTTATTTGTAAGCGGTTTTCGTGCTCTATGCGTGCCTTCTGCTAAACCTCTCAAGTCCTTTGTTATATTTATTTATCAACGTGCGTTCTTACGCTCTCGGTATGAGTAATTTTTGCGCACATCTCGTGCATAGAACATACTGTGCACATCTCGGGCCGACGTGCGTGCCTGCGTGTGTTTACACCCGCTCGCTATAGTAGAGCAGCCCAGCCCAGACGCCACACTCACGGGCGACACATGAGTGGGCAGGACCGTGAGTGCCGGGGCCGCCGTCCAGTCAGCGGAGATCACTGCGATCACTGGCTGAAAGGTTCAGCCAATGGCGCGCGCCGCCGTCGACACGGCAGCCAATGGAGTGCCCGCAGAGCGTGGGCACGTGGATTTGCGCACATGTTGACGCTTGTAAACTGCCGAGAGAAAGAGGCAGCACAGGCACAGACCGATGAACGGCAGGCCGGGTGGTGTGTGTGTGTATATGTGTGTGTGACAGAGAGGTGATGCTCGGCGTCCCGATGCTGCTCCAGCCTCGGAGTGTGGACTGACGGACCAAAAGTAGAAGACAGAGCCATCCTCCACTATTATTAGAATCAGCTGTTATTTTTAAAAGCGCTTTACTGAAGGTAAGAATTTTCAAAAGCATTTTTATCTTTTTTGTTTGCCGAAGTTGGCAGCTTAGCCTGAAGGAATTTCCTGTCCTGTGCGTACCATCCCGGTATAATTTTAATATATCCTAAAGCTGTGTTGCCTAACGATAAATTGCTTTTAAACGTTATAATGATTGCTCAGATTTTCCTTCATGTTTAAGACAAGTAACTGCTTTGGATTTATGTTAGTGTCTGATAGACTGAACGGCTTTAGATGGCCTGAATGTACAGTTCTATTAGTTTCTCTTGCTGGCGTGGTGGTGGTGGTGGGCACAGACACAGGCCGGCAGAAAACACCTGAGTCGCAGCCTCATGGTCTACCTGTGCAGGCTGTGGCAACACATCCACCAATCCAATCCTACCGCATCTCCATCCAGCTGGGGCTATAAACTAAGTAAGGGGTTGTACATAAACAGAAATAGCATCAGATTGCCTCACGGTATTTCAAGCTGTTGACTCTTTCACGTTAACAACGTGCCATTTGGTTTGACAGCCACCAGACATAAAATGTAAATGGCAAAGCACGCTGTCTGAGCGTTTCTTTCTCCTTTTGCGTTTGTGTCAGTCTCCTTCATTTGTGAGTGACTTTTGACTTTATTTTTCTGACGCTGATAAAGAGTTCTGTTGGTGTATTTCATTGCTGAGCATTTCCCAGTTTCCCCTGAAATCTCCCCCTCAGTATTGGTGGGATCAGAGATTACACAAGCTGAGAAAGAAAGGGGGAGAAAAACAAACAGATGAGAGAAAGGCACATGGCCAGAAATGCAGAATGTGAAAATGTGAGTAAAAGGAGGAGGAAGAGGGCTTGGTTTGGAGAGGAAAGGAAGAGGGGGCACCGGGCTTGTGTGCATAACGAACAGGATGAGCTGAAGGCAGAGCGGAGAGGGATGAGAAGCATACAGAAATACAGCCGAGAGGAAAGAGAGTGGTTTGCGTGTGTGTGTGTGTGTGTGTGTGTGTGTGTGTGTGTGTG